CAACAGCTGAATGAAGTGAAAAAAATGTGGTTTTTAACAGCGGACAAAATAGCAATTCCGACTTAAGCGTACACGGTTTACTATGTTTATCGTTACTCGTAGGCTAGTACCCACTGACTATAATCTGCTTGGTATTTTTCGAAGAAGTCTCTAAGTAGGCTCTTGGATTCTGCACCAGCCTCAGTCCGTTTGATACAACTATGAAACCTTCATTCGCACATTGAATTACACGCAATGTAAACCATTTTCACTCAGATATTTTCTTTGACCATATGGTCATTATTTTTCTGTGTTTGAACACTGGATACGCAATTAATTGTGGTGCATATTTATTAAGAGAATACTAATATATTTACGATTTATTAGCAAGTCGCCTGATAAATCATAAAACACAATCACGAAAACGAAGACTGTAAACACTATGATGTTTTACTGAGCTGCAATTCAGGCAGGTAAACAAATTTGCTCCCTTGTAAAACCCCTGGAAAATGAATGTTTTTTTAAAGAAGCAGCGTAGAGAGCCGGATGTTGAGGGTGGCCTCGAACACTCGTATAGTCTAGAGAGCGGCAAGTAGGTTTTTTGGAGGCCGAATCGTAAATTTCCGTTTCGCATCTCGGGAACAGAGGAAAATCTGTTGCAAAATCGTTGTGACAACGAGGATCCTCGTGGACATTCAGCCACCCAAACTGAAGGGTGCATCGACGGATTCGCCGAGTGAAAGGAATGTGCGTGGAACCAATGGAAATATAGTACGAGGGTGAATAGAAAAATAAAAATATATGTGTCAGGCCAAAATGGGTCAATGAGGTCAAATTAGATAAAAAAGCTGCCACCAAATATGTGACTACCTACAGGAATATTGTTAGTAGGTGCCACACATGTAAACCAAAATACATACCATCACAACATAAGATAGGAGAATTTCGGGCTGATGCGACTGTTTAATAATACTGAATTCACAAAAGGGGTGTTGACTATGAGAGTCGAAAAAGGGACGCGACGAATATAATGTGGTACAAAAGAGTTAATAGGGGAAAGCAGTCGGCTGCAAATGAGATGAATAATTAGATAAAACGGTTCCTGTCGGGGTTTG